TACTTCGTTTGGAAAAAAATCGGAAAATCAAAACTCAATTACTTCTACATCAATACACTAATTTTAAGCCTCGATTGCTTTGCAATTTGTTAAATATTTTCAAATGTATCGCTATTCGCTTAATAACTACTAATACCGCGTATCTGCACATACAAGCGTATATTCATATATGTGTTTATGCAAATAGATAGATGCAGACATAAATAAAAGCACTACAAAACAAATTCACTTGGAAAATTCGGTATTTACAATTAGTCTGCCGCGCGGGTTGCGCCTCGAAATCACATCATTACGCATCCTACCCCCTTGCTCTCCCCTCATGAAAAAATAACCTCTAAAATGCACTCAGGCAATACATTTCTACTATATACATACTCCACTAAAATTTAAGTCCATTAGTCAGTTTTCCCGAATTATTTTCTTTTTCATTGCAGCACCGCACATGCTCTACTGCCACATAACTGTAATTAAAAAAGCGTGTAGTAAAATTTTGCACAATCCAACCAACCATTAGGCATTACAAAGTCCCAATGATGTTGGTGTGAGATTTTAAATGCGTTAACGTGCATTCGCCTAAAATGCTACTACACAAATTGTATTTTTGCACACACGCAAGCACACATTCATACGTGGGTAGTGGCGTGAGTTGAGTAAATTTGTAATTTTATGCAACTGAAAATGTATTTTCTCCAGCAAATACAGTTGTAAGTAGGTTTTGGAGTGAGTGCATGTACTTACTTATAGGCAAACATACGTATGTACACATATGTAGGTAAGTGTTGTGTGTATGTTTATGAACACAGCGCGCACTTATTTGTAATTCAATTATGTTAATGATTGCAAAACATTTGCTGTATTTACATTAATGCATAATGAATGGGCAGAGCATTGCTGTGTTGCGGTGTGCGCCTAAACTCATGCTACACGCAGAGACAAATGCTACTCAGCCACGAGTAACACTCAAGCCACTGGGCTTGCAGTTGAAGTTGTGTGGCAATACAGTACCTAGTGGAAATTTAAAAAAAGGAAAAATGCTGGTAACACGCCTAAATGTAAGCACTAATTGAAAAAAAATTTTAACTTCCAAATCTCAAACCATGCTTGTCACTGCGGTACAGTACGTAACTTGTAGCTCAAAGTTTTAATTATAAAAAACGCAATCGTAGAATAAAATAAGGTATAGTATAAAGAAATCCATTATAATTTCAACAGATAGCGTTATTTATCTGTATTTTGTGTTGTGTAAGTCCGGTCGGAGTCCCCTAGATAGCGTTAGAAAGATGACATTTCGTACTAAAAAACAGTTTTGTGATTGATTGATTCAGTTTTGTTTGAGCGTGAGTCAACAGTTTACAGTTTTTCTTCGATAAGGGTAAACAGACCATCATATTAATACTGTTTCTAATGCTCAAGAGCAAAATTAGCGCAAAAAACCATTCGGAATCATTAGAATAAGGCCGGATGCGAAAAGTATTTAATTTATTCTTCATTCAAAAATAATGGACTACTTATTACTATACCTGATATGTATAAATATTTAGTTGTAAGCAGGCAATAACTGAAATTATTTTATTAATTGGCCAAAAAATATTTTTGAAATACATATTCATCATTCATATATGAGTTTTATTTATCTTTTTTTACTTTTGAGAGTCGAAAATTATCTCTTTGGAAAAAGATATTAAAATATTTTCAAGAACTTTATTTCACTCTTCTAATATTTTTAGTTTAGCTGTTCTTTTATATGTACTAATTATTGTAGCTTTTTTAAAATATTTCCATCATTTTTATTTTTATATTATTCAAAACATTTTTCTTTTTTTAAGGAATAATAAATTTTTCAAATTAAAAAAATATTTTAAAAGTTAATTATTTATTAGTTTGCTTTTAATTTCACTTTGGTCCTATCAGCGATATTTTATCTTGAATTTTTATTATTAGAACTTTTTTAAAATTGGAGTACTAAAATTGTATGAATTTCTTTTTTTATTTGCAACCTTAAAATAAATGTAATAACAGTTAAAAAAAAAACAAAAATTTGAAAAATAGCAGAAAACAATTTGTGAACCATCTTGCATTTTTTAGTAGAAATTGTGTTGTTGTTGCCCTTTCCCTGTTACAGTGTCGTATTTTCATCAATTAAATGTATGTAGAAATTGTTGTTGCATAAATTATTTCGAGTTTCAAGTCATTTATACTGAAATGAAGTATGTGCTTGCCGAGCTGCATCACAAAATATTCACCAATTCACCTTTATTCACCTTTAACAAACTTCCAAAATATGGACTACCTCAGCCATGCTTCAGATACGCTTTAACATTTTTAAATGTTTTTCGACGATATAGCTGCTCTCATCACACTTGACCATTCTGCCTTAGCACGACTCTACCCATCACCACCAACTTCCGCCTCATTACATTACTGTCGCACTTGCCGCTTGTTTTCACCACTACATACGCATAATTGAGCCTGTGTGGCTGTCGCATCACTCAGCTGGATAAATTAAGTGGTCGATAAACTGAATCCTTGTTGAGTGCTTCAACAAGCGCGTGGAAAGCTGAAACAACCAAGTTAAGCATGATGAAACATCGCAACAGAAAACATCAGTATAAAAAGCAAAAACAAAAGTAACAACAAGAACAAAGCACACTTTTTGTAGTGACTGAATTTTACATTTCGTTTTTGTTACTTTTGTTGTAGCTGTCATCGGCTGTGTAACTGAACATTTATTTTTGTAGCTGCTTCTTGCCTGTGTCACCTTTATACTCTTTAAATATGCTTTTCAGTTACAAATTTGAGCTGTTGAAAGGTTCAATCATCGCTGATCGTCTCAATAGTTTCTGGTATACACACCAACTAAACATTATTGGTGATGCTGATCAAGGAGATGCTTGCGCTATTGCCACAAAATTAAAATCCAAAGACTTAACCACTAGGCTTTCGCATTTTGCCTTTAATCATAACACAAAGCATAACTGGGTTTGTCGGCATGTAGCTTGGAGATTGGTGGTATTTGCCTCTTTGGGGTTCGCTTTGATTATATCATTGGTTAAATTATTAAATAGTTGCTTTGTTTAAGTCACTAATTTGGTTGGACGATATGCTCATGGCTGACTTTAAAAATAATCTTTTCAGTAGTTTTGTTATTTTTGTATCGCCAATTGAGGTAAAGCTTAATTAAGGGTAAACAGGGAATGTATTATGGAAAACCAGACAACATGCAAAACTTTCTTTGTTCTGAGCCATGAAACTTGAATACTATATTGGTAATGGATGGATATATGGTTGGGTAAAGCCTGATTAAGGTATTAAATCCAGAAAATAATTCAAAAGAATAATCTAAAATAAATAATCAGCCGAAAGTTCAGAGTTATAAAACCCATCGTGCTATGTACTTTAATAATAACTTAGTTAACAGTTTCATATCTCTTCTTGCATACCATTACTTCACTCTTTGCGAAAATCAATTTTACACATCGGTTAAAAGCTTTGATTGTTATTTTTATTTTCTTTCTTCGGCTTTACCAAATCATTCCTTCAAACTCAATCACTATCGAACACCTAAAATTATGCAATCAAATTAAATTATATAACAAACTGGCTTTGGCTACTACCCGTTGCAATTGTCAGTAAGTAAGTACTTACGTCAATGGTTTGTGACTAACCAATTTGTAAGCGTGAAAATTGTCTGTCTTACCAATTCATTTTCTCTTTATGCCCACTGACCAAATCAAACTAACACAAAGAACGGCAAAACAACCGTATACACATACACATATATAAGTACTCCTGCAAGCCTATATATCCAATGGTACCAATTCAGCTGCGCTCAGTCGTAGTGGTAAATCGTAATCACCTGCCAATCGTCCTTTAATAAATTATTCAACTAAATCACCACTTAAATACCAAAGCGAACAACAACAACAATAAGCACACCAACAACGACAGATAGGAAGGAATTGCAATTCAATGACCAAATCGCAAGTCGCCCATCAACCGGCGAGGTCAAGCAACAGCAAACAGCACAGGCACATAGCGACGATATATATATTTAAATATTTATATATATATTGAGCCACATATTTACCTGCATTTTATTTATACAAATCCAATTCGTTACGCCACCATCAGGCAACGGCTAAACGTTAAGCTAACTGCTGAATGACGCTGACACCAACTGCTAAGCGAACTCGAGCGCAGTAAGGAATGAGAGAAGTAGTGGAAAGTAGAAAACAAATCGGTAGATTTTATTGCAAACAACAACAATGCAGCGTAATGACTCTCTAAAGTATTTTTAAGGCAACAGAACTAAGCTTTCCGACTCATTGCTCGCTGCCTGCTTCTCTTTTTTTTACTCTCTCATTTCCTTAGATACCTCCAACTTTCATTTATGTGAAACTCTTTACGTTTATCTATTTAACTACAGCCTTTAGTATATTCAAGTATTTTTTTTTAAGCCGCACAGCATTGATCCACTTGATCCAATGACTTTAGATCCCCCCAAAAGGCTCATCACCTGTCTTCCTTCTTTCCTTCCTTCAATGACTGCCATCAATTACTTGCTGTTTGTCTGTTATTACTTTCTTTTATTGCACTTGACCGTACGCTAACCCATTTCAATTGCTTTGTGGCAGAATGGAGTGTTGTTGTAATTTTTTATGTATATTTCTTTTATTTCTATTTATTTATTTACCTTATATTTTAATTCGTTTTAGCTATGCCGGTGATTTGTTAAGGCTTTTGCGCTTGATTGCAGTAAAATGTAAATTTCTGAAAGCAACAACGGCACTCAGTAGAGTTTGGGTCGGTAGGGTGTGCAGCCTTGGCCAGGTCATTACATATTTTTGATTACTGGGGAATCAATTCACAATGTCCCGTTTCTGTACTTAAATTAAAATTGACTAAAATAATTCAAAAAACATAAACATAACTACATTTCCTATTACTTTCTAAAATTATGTCTGCTGAATTTCTAAAAAAAATTTAATTTTTTGTTTCAGATGAACCGTGCTTTACAGCTCAAGCCAGCTGAAAGTGAAAGTCGAAGCGGTAAGTTAAGAGCATTATATTAAAATTGTAATGATTACTTCATAAATTTAAGAAATTTAATTTTTTTTTAACATTAGAAAAGGTAATAAAACAAATGTTTTATTAAGGAAAAAATATACAAATTAATTTCCCATTTATACGAGATTTGTCCATTGTTGCAGATGTAATTTGTTTTTAAAAATTCCAAAGCGCTTAGTCCGAGCTTTTGCTCTTAATAGAGTTATCTACAGTCAGTCTATTCCAGACCTTCTCCTATCGATAGATGGATTGTTTTTTGGGAAACTTTAGTTTCAAGTCAGAAACACACTCGGAGAATCGGAATTCCCAAGACTGCTTCGTTGTCTTACAGCGGGTTGCGTTTTCATCTGCCCTGGGCTTTGAGCATAAATTGTAAAGAGAAAGCTCTTTTTTGATCATTCCTCGCAGGGATGAAATTTACATCATTCGCATTCCCCCCGAGAAGCTTTCGACTTGATCAACACCGTAGCTTTTTCTTTACGAAAGCATTACTCTGCCACCCGGCTCACCTACCAAAAAACAATTGAAAAATTATTGGAAGCAAACTTTTGCCTCCACCTGCACTTTATAAAAGGCTATCGCCACCTAGCAGCAGCTATTGAAATCCAATCTTGGGAGGACATAAGATGTAACCAGTGGACAAAGTAACATGAATCCTCAGCAAAATAGGGCAAAAAAGATAAGAAACTAATATAGGAAGACTTGAAAAATATTCCCTCAATTAACTCGCTTTTGGCTAAGATCACCAAATAACTTCTTTAATTCCTACGTGAATATGCTCTGATCGAAACTACTTTCTAAGAAAAAGTGCTATAATCACTTTCCCTGTGAAAAACATTTACATAATCGCCCACTCTACTTTCCTCGACAAATGCTAACACTCCACAACTTTGAGCTTCAAATTCCTCTTTTATTCACATACCCTTGTTTGAGCATTTGACACGTTTATTGCCTTTGTCACTCGGACTTTCTGCAATGCAATGCATACCAATTCAATTTAGAAACGCTGACAGCGATGTCAAGCAATTATAACCAACAAACAGGCCAACAAACAAGGCGAATGTATGCAAAGTGAAAAGGACTAAGAAAAGCAAAATAGAATAAATAAAAAAAAAAAAGTGAAAAGTAATAAAAAGCAAAGAAATATGCAAGAAATTTCACAAATCTTACCACCGAAAAGCAATAACAGAAATAAAAGAGAGTGAGAGGGAGTTGGAGAGAGATTTGAAGGGTTGCAGTAAGTTTGCCATGCAAAGCTTACATACATACATACTCACTAACAAATAAATGTAAAGCCACAAGCCAAAAGTTGAAACTTTAAGTATTGTATAACGCTAAAAGGACATTCGCAGAAAGTCAGCAAGTCAAGTCAAGTAATATACAGCGTATTGCAAGCCAGTGGAAACCACAACCCACAGCTAAGTTTATCTTTAGATATACGAATATCGATATGTTTGAGTATGACCTTTAAACTTTGCTGGAGGACGATGTCAAAAATATTAATCGTTTCATTGCACTCGCCAGCGGGTGGTGAAAAAGACGCAAACAGAAAGTGAGCAAAAGAGATAGAGAGAGAAATGTTAAAACGAAGAGAGAGTTTGGTGCGGGAGCAGGTTCTAAGCAAGTTTCAAAGCAAGTTTAATGTGCAAAAGCTCACGACAAATTTATATTATTGAGCCACAGTGCGCCGTCAACAGCGCTGCATTGCAATTCCAATTTTGCAGCTACCAAACGCCTGCCTATTTTCTTAACATAAGTTTTCAGATGCGACTTATGTGTCTTGCTAACTAAGTGCTTGTCTGTCTGTAGCGCATATTTTCTTGCTATGTTTCTCTGTTTGTTTGTTTGCTTGTTTGTTACTCTTGTGCATCTGTGTCTGTTGCTTGGGCAACAGTTAAAACTTTTCACTAATCCGACAACGGAAATTGGTCGGGAATTACTGCTGCATTCTTCATCAAGTCGAGTCAAGTCAAGTTGAGTCCTTTCATCCATTTCATACTACTTGCACAATAGCAATATTCAGCGCTTTGCGGTTAAATGGCAGCTGTGTTCGGCTACCTTTGATCCTTTCAGCGAGATTTGAAACTGCTACTATTTCGTTTTCTATTTATAGGTAATAGATTTCAAGCCAGTGGAGTACATATCTAATATCATATTATGACGTTTCATGTTAATCAAAGTTTTTTTCATTATTTATACTTACGGCTTTCATATCTTTAATTATTCATTATTTACTATTAAACATTAATAATTTAATTATATTTTAATCATATTTCCCTATTTCTAATTTATTATTCATTATTTATTGTTTATTATTTATAATTTGCTACTTAAAAAGTCCGCAGTAGAAAGTCGGAAAAAATTCCTAAAATTCATTATAATCTTTTATGTTTTTTTATCATTTTGGTTGGGCATTTAAAATTATCAAATTGATTTATTTTTAATTTTTTTTTTTTATACTTTTTCTTTAATTTTTTATAGAGCAATTCTAGCCACCATAAAATATTTTGAGCAACCTATGCTAACATTACTCTTAATCTACTCAACTTTTGAACTACATAACAAAAACAAAATGTTAGAAACTGCAGAGTAGTTAGTTCTTCTTCGTCTTTTCCTGCATTTCGATCATCATCTTCTGCTTCCACTCTCTCATTTTGCTCTAAGCTCTTCACTCTACCTATTATAAAGCATCAAAGTTTTTACTATAGAAAAGTGGTCTTATCGTTAACAGCAAAGCATCAGTGATTCAGATGCATACAAATACATGAACATGCATATAAATGCACAAACAAACAAACAAGCAGAGAAATAATTGGCAATCCGAGCAAACAAAATAAAGGTTACTCATACGCCGTGTCGGACGAGTTTCTCATACAATACATAGTCTGGTAGTCAGGTTGCCTTAGTGACGATGATGACAATTATTTTTTTGCGGTCTTGAGTTTGAGATTTTCGTCTACAGCCGTCGTTTCGTTTGCAGGGAACTACGGTGCTTCAATCGTTCAACTTGTTAGTGTCTGTCAGAGTTGTTAGGCCAGGCGAGGCGAGTCAACAATCGTTAAAGATTGGCGACAAGTTTTGTAAAGGCATTTTCGTTAGAGGAAGAGAGCAATTGAAAATGGTAGTAGTATTTTATGTATGTATGTATATATGTCTGCGTATTACAGTTTTTCGTTCATACAAATGCAATTATTTGCGACAAGTTTAATTGCTTGCGGTGAGTAAAGATTCTTTTCAGGATTTTACGATTAACCAGAGAGACATAGTCAAAATAGAGATGCAAATACATACGTAGAACTAAACTAGCAGTTTATGTGAGAGCTTAAATAAGTACGCAGACAATATGCCAATTGGCCAGTCGGACGTTCCTGTAGTGAGGTGATCATACCCAAGAGTGCAGTGATGTGCAAGTGTTAAATGGGTAAATAATTAAAATTGGAGCATGAAGGAGACACTATACCTCAATACCAAAAGAAAGGATTGTAGTAAGAAAAGGTGTTGAGCAATTAGTGGCAATTTTTACTGTTACTAATTGCTTCTTTTTTTACACTGGTTATTTATTTTTAGGACAACTTTTGTAGTATTAAAATTTATTTCAATTCAAGAACCTTTAGTTAAAGACATAACTTTAAACCTTTTTATTGATGAAATATTTATTTTACTGGTTTTGAAGCCTTAGAGTCGGAAAAAGAATCTCTTAAAATGTATACTGTTTCACCTCTTTTACAACTTGTAAGTCAGCGCCAGTTTAAATTATACATAGCCCACTCAATCCACTATTTTTAATGACTTTTTTACATCTTGCCTTCTTTCTCTTACTACAACTCAATTCTCGGCGTTTTCACTTTGAACTCTGAGCACTTTTATCATATACACATACATATATTCCTACTTCAATTACAACGAATATCAACGTAGAAGAAGCGAAGTCAAGCATCGCAGAGAAGTGGAAATTGAGCATGAAAGACTACCTCAATCAGAGCAAATGCAGTCATATGTGAGAATATATGTATTTAATTGCACATACTCCTATACATAAATGTATTTGTATGCCGGTATATGATTACAACAATGCAAACTGTTGGTTACAACCGCTTAACAATACACACACACCCCCATGCCATACAGCTGAGGTATCTCATGTACTATTGCCGCTCTGCACCTCTGCGCGCGTGGTATAAGCTTGAGTATCTTTTGAAACATAATAACGAACTTACGGATTCAATTTACGTGACATCATTACAAACGTAAGACAAGAACAAATTATGCGCACAACTACGCGAAAGACAACGGAAAGCAATGTGGAAAGGAAAGAGAGAGAGGGAGAAAACAAGAACCAACAAAAAGTTCAAAAGATGCTGAAAGGCAAGACAGTGTTGCCAGAGGGCACCAAGAATAATTTATAGACGAAAAAAAAAAAACAGAAACCACTTTCAATTGTGCCGTGCATAAAGTGCGTTGGAATTAAACGTAGTAGAATGTGTAAGACAAAAAAATAGTAGTGGCATATAATAAGAGAAAACGACTATAGGTAGAAGTACAATTTGGTAAGATGGGGCATGACAGTCATGACGGTATTCTTGCCACACATAATAAGCGCACAGGAAATTCGCTACAATATAAAGGTAATGATGACGATCCATACAAACGAGTATATGCTGTTGGCGTATGTGACACATTTACCAACATTAATAAACTACACACACACACATACTTACATACATTTCTCTATAAATGTGAAAATGTGTGAAATAATAATAAATGCCTCCACTACGTTTGTTTGTGATTTGAGTCACTTCTTGTCAAGTAAATTTGGAAAACAAATAAAAATATATATATACATATCTGTTAAGACAAGCATACATATATACATACACAAAACGCGATGCATGCTGTAAGGAAATTTGAAGACATTGAGAAATGTCAAATAATAAATAAGTAGTGAAGTAAATGATTTTTCATGCTTGTAGGTATGTAAAGAA